TCCTAATCCCCCCCCCCCCCCTTGCTTTGATGTTCATACTGTGTTGATGCTGAAACAGCTGTTGGAGTGTAGCCTTTCTTTCCTTTGTATCAGGCTGGCGCTGCATATGCTACACCAGCTTCGTGCCGAACCACCAAGATTGCTTTTGATAAAAGTAAGCACTTCTTGTTTCCTGTCTTCATTTCATGCTTATTCACTTATTTGCAAATCACTGATGTTTCCATTGATTTGTGGGTGTCCACAGTCTTCCACAATCTTTCATCTTAAATTTTTCAGCAGTTTTAATTTCTCTTAAACATATTTTACTTTTGGGGATTTCTGTAACTGCTTTTTAAATTCGGGGCACTTAACTTCAGGCACATACATTAACAAGCCCTCCACTGTTTTTCTTATTGCAGAAGTGCAGCAGGCCTCTGTTACAGGGCAGCTCTTTGTACCCAAGGCAGCAGATTCATCAGATGAAGAAGAGGAAGATTCCTATTTTTCTTCTTAATCAAATTCCTGGATTTTAGTAGTTCAACAGATATACAACCTCTGTCACAAACAAAGTTAAAAGGAAGGCCTGTAGCCACCCCACTGACATGATATTCTTATGTTCTTACGTTAGTTCAGTTTGGAAATCTTGGTCTGCAGAGTTTTTATGGTGTTAAAATACATTCTAGGCTTACTGCCTTGTCAGTGATGATGTTTGTAATTTTGCGTGTGTACTAAATGGGACTTTCTTTCCTAGGCTCCTTCTTTCCTATGCCCAGTACTTCCTGGGGAAAGGGGCAAGGGAAAAATGTATCCATATATTAATTATTGGCAAAATGTTTGATTGTTTCATTTTAAGGTAAAATAACTTTTATAAATACTGCTGTACAATAAATGTATAATAGTACAGTTTATAACTAATTGGACTTGCCTTTTATTTTCCTCATCTGAGAACTAATTTGAACCTTTTACATTTCCTTAATGTAACAAAAAGGTACTAAGTATCTGACAGCAGTGTCATGAATAGGCAGAGAAACAAATATCTGAAGTTGAAAATTTTAAGGCACTGTCTTGTAAACATTTTATTCTCTTACGATTACAATTCCTACCACCCGCAAGCAATGCCCAATACTCTGAGTAGTAATATGGGAAGAGGAAAGTTTTGAGCATATATTTTACTAGTTAAATTGTGGATATGAAAAAAAAATGCTTTGTCTTTTTCCTGTGAGAGCTTACACTCCAGGCTGTCACCTAAGCATTTTTGAACTTTAAAGTGCATAAAATTAGAAGAAACCTCAGTTAAGATGAAAGCCTGTATGTCTGAGCTGCTGCTGCTGTCACTTTCCTCCTGCTGTGAGGCTAAACCAGACTTTGGGGTTACAGATTTGTTACGTGGAACATGTAACGTTGGCCTAAGCCCCTTGGGCGAAGGTCCCTTCCAAAGGGGCTGTGCAGGGCGGCCGGGGCCCATGCAGTGGCTGCGGTCGGGGCTAGAAGCTGTTTCAGGCAGGGGTTAGTTACAGCAAAGCAGAGGAGTGCACAAATTAAGACAGGGCTTTAAAACAAATTAACGTAGGTCTTGAGAAACGAAGATGTCTGTCAACCTCTACCAGAGTGTTTTGTGAAATGAAGTGCTTCGTGTAAAAGCCTAAGGCTAGCGTCAGGCCTAGTTAAGGCAATGCTACAGTCGCTGTTTCCCAAGCAGACTTGTGCGGCAGGGTCCCCGCTGGGGCAGAGCGCGAAGACGGGGCCCCTCCCCCAGCCTTCTCTTAGCCTGCGGTTTTGGGAGAAAACCCTGACAGCACTGAGGAAAAACCCAACCGTTTGTTTGTTTGTTAGGAAAATAACTTGCAAGCCTTACTTTTTGGTTGAACACCTGCCTTGCAAAACCTGTGCTGCGCTCGGCAGCGCTCTAGTGCTTTTTCTTCTCTAGTCTAGGCTAAGTGTATCCCCCGGCCATGACACACACAGCTGAGCTGCTGCTGAACAGTGGGTGAGCTGGGCCGCGTGTCCTGCCCGGGTAGGGGACCCCCGCACAGGCACAAAGGCCTCT